CTTTTCTGCCCCCCCCCCCCTTCACTGGTCAAAAATTTTTTATGGCCCCTCTAAATTTCCTCCGGCCCCCTACTCGGCATTAATAATGACTGGTCCCTTAAAGGACGTTATGCAGCAATGACGTATTTCATTAAAAAACACCAATTCTCATATAATGTACGAAATGCCATTTCAGACCCCCGGACTTTTACAAAGGTGTCATCCACATTCCCAATCTCACTCTTAACTTCTCTGCAAAGTTGAGAGGTCTGTGGGTGGTCATCAGTGCTCTCACAATCAAATTTTCGAATTCCTTAGAAAAAGCTCAAAAATTCCTCAGATTTCCTTAAAATTCCTTAAATTGGTAAAATTACTACAAGACCTGATCACATAGTTTATTTATTTATTTATTTATTATGCTTTGCCAATTTCACACAATCATATCTGCACAAATACAAACACAAGAATATACAAACTATCAATCAATCAATGGCAGGGTATATGCTACAGCTTTGCTCCAATTACAGCAGCCCTTAGTTGCAAAAAGTGTTTTTTTCTCTTTTTTTCTGTTTTTCAGTTTTTCAACCTTGTTTCTAAGCACTAAAATCTGAAAACATTTGATTGTTAGCATATTAAATGCGATAAAGAAAACATTCAACATGATGTATTTTTGATCGTTGCTGCATGAAGAGTTTAGATAATATGTAGATTTCAGAAGAAACAGCATATACTGACATTTAAAGCCATATGTCATTTATGACATTTATGACATAGGGAACATACGAATATATGTAATTATGTGCGTATAATGTTGTTACTTTCAAGTTTAAATCTCATTTGCGTGGCATGTTATCCTCCGTCCAACATTTCTAGTCCAAGATAAATTGTTTCGGAAATTCCTTAAAAAAATCCTCAAAAACCTAAATTCCTTAAAAAAATCCTTAAAACTCTTCAAAATTCCTATTTTTAAGGATAATTCCTTAAAAGTGAGAGCACTGGTGGTCATCACTGGTGGTCATCCTCACCACAGAATAGGAAGTTATACCAGAATACCTTCTGGTATAACTTCCTATTCTGTGTCCTCACTGATCTCAAAAATATGGCGGACTGTCATGAATAACGGACACTGATTGGTCCAATTTAAAGTTTGCATTATAACGGCTGCATGACGACAGCGAAATAGCAAACATTTCTTGATTTGATGATTGATAAATTTCTTGCAAATATTCTTCATTTTTGCTCGTATTTCTGTAAGATTTTGTAAATTTCAAGAAAGAAAGGGCGAAAGAATCAGCTAAAAGAAGGGAGCCGACGTTAACGAAGGTAAGTTTGTTTTAAATATTGATTCTATAATGGCTTTAAAACCCGACGGCCTTTGCGTATATGAAACAACTAAACAAGACAGCATATTATTTCAGTGTATCTTTAATATTGATTCCCTTTTTTATTATACTGAATTTTTTAAATAAAAAATAAAGCAAAGTTATTTGCAAGCGAGAATTTGAAATAATTTTATTGCAAACTCAAAGTTTATCGATAAAGCCATTTAATAGTTAAAGGCAGTTTAGTTTTATAAAGAACACTTTAAAACGTTTTGTGGATTGTTTGTGGTTGAATTTTACCTTAAATTGAAGCTTGTATTACGTATAATTACATACCTAACATAAATATGTTGGGAAATTGATAATTTTGTAATTAAAAGTGATATTTTTAGGCGATTTTCATTTGTAAGAATATTCTTAAAAAATTATCGTGTTACCATGACAACTGCTTTAGATACTTCATGTTCGGAAAATACAACGGTTTTGTCAGCAAGGCGAGGGTTTCTGCATGCATGTATTTTCTAGTTGTATGTTTATATCTCCACAATTTAAAAAAATCGGAGTTGAGTATTTTTTATACAAGTATCGAAAAATAGGTAATTTTATAAGGGTTAAATTTTGCCTGGTCAGGCCATAATTTCCGCTGCAAAGTAAGTAAATAAAAATTGTATTTTAGCTTTGCTACTGTTCTTTGTTATTAGACATTATCGCCCGTATTCTAAAAGCTCACTCACATGTGCACTCGCACTCAATGACTGGAAGTTCACTGAATCTGAGGATTCTGAGCTTCTCTCGAGTGTAATTGCTGTTTTTGAATAGCTGGAGGGCTAGTGTCATACCTTACTACTCATCCTCCAGCTATTCAAAAACAGCATTGACACTCGAGAGAAGCTCAGATTGAACCTCCACTCATTGAGTGTGAATGAGCTTTTAGAATACGGGCGTATGTCGCTAACTTTATGAGTTTTTCCACAAATTTTGATGTTGAGGTAACTTTGAACTGTCAATACATTTTACACTTTGCCAATATGATCTTACTATACTCCGCCAAGCGCAATAGCTGCAAAATTACGATCCATGCATCCTAAAAATTTTTATGATAAATTAGCCAAGACGACTTCTTGTTAGAATTCGTCGAGGAAACTCAAATTGGAGTTGAGTATTTTTATATTCTTTTGAAAAGATCAGCTATACCAGCTAAAATTCAATGTGAGTTGTATTCTACCATATGATTCTACCGAACGGTTCGTTTAAATTATCGTATGACATCGGAATTTTATCCTCGCGATACCCATTTATTCATTGAAACTTAAAGACTCCTCAGTTGTATTCACTTTTCCCGCCAAATATAGGTGGAAACGTCGCTGTGCCTATGGTATCATTGCCAATCTCGTTCCCAGAGTATGCCTGTTCGCGGGTTAGGTCATGCCACAACCTAACCCGCGAACAGGCATACTCTGGGAACGAGATTGGCTCATTGCCAATCCTCTGCATCGCTCCTCGATCAGCGCACCTAAAGCCATTTCATTGCCCACTTCTGGCCACTATATCAGTAAGCGCTCTGGTACAACCGACCCCATGCAGACCCTGATTGGTTAATGAGGTAGATTAAATGCAGTTGATTGGTTAACGGTATAGCGGTAGTGTCAAGTCTGAACCTCTCTAATGTTTTTGTGTCAATGCATTACTGTTTTTGTTTATGTAAACGACAGTTATGCATTTTTTTCTTGAAGGAGCTGACCCAAGCTGTATATGCGAGTATAATATGCTGCGTAAAACTCCTCTGATGGTTGCTGCAAGCAATAACAACGTGGAGATTATTAAAGAACTTGTTTCACATGGTGCTGATGTTAACCAAGCGACTTTTACATCACCTCTTTTGTTGGCTGCAAAATTCAAATGTTGTGAAGCGTTGGAGCAACTCTTGAGCTATAATCCTGATATCAACTATGTAGACGAAGGAGGGAATTCGGCGTTATCCACACTATGTACCGTTCTTGTCATAAATTATTCTACTGATGAATATGACTACCTATTACAATTTTGCAGGAAGATTTTGATTTCTGGTGGAGATATAACACATCTCACAAAGGTGAGCACAATATCACCGATAATGCAGGGTACCGTATTTGTTCGTATGTGTCCCGATCTTATACGACTTCTATTAGAGTTCGCAACCTGTCGTGAACATATACAGTTTTTATCCACTATTTGCGAAATGTGTACTGAAGAAGGATTAGAGGATTGGGAACAACTGTATGACTTGATCTGGCAACCGAGAAAATTAACTCACTTGTGTCGGATTAAGATAAGATGTGTTCTGGGTGAAAAAGGACTGGAACGCATTGAAGAACTCCCTTTACCTGCTACATTAAAGGGTTATCTTCGACATAGCGAGGGAATAACTTTTGAGTGGAGCTAACTTACCGTACTTTTTACATAGTTACCGTACCGTACGTACTTACCGTACTTTTTCGGGTTTTGCCGAATGCTAATGACATGAATCGTTTCAGTTGATTCCATTGAAAAACGTTTCAGTTGATTCCATTGAAAAACGTTTCAGTTGATTCCATTGTGTTGATTCCATTCCACCTTAAAAGTAGGAACCGATCCAACTTTCATGCACGGAGAATGTTTTCGCTAACCAATCAGATTTAGGGAAGATTTAAACTTTCCGTGCGTATCGGTACGTATATGACAAACGCTGCATTTATTTTTACTGTATTTATTTTTTCCGGATCGTAATCCCAGGTTCGTAACGTAAATGGAGCCTTCTGATTGGTTGACGAGAGGTTTGTATCACACGATACGGACCTCTCGCACACGTTACGGACCTCTCACGTTTCTCGCCAAAACAAACCGAGGAGTTAAGAGAATTTTCAAACTCAAAAAAACAATCCGCAAAGCTGAAAATCCCTCCCTATCGATACTAAAGACAGGAAAATAAGCAGAATTGACTTCAATGGATTTAGTGCCAAGTCCGAAATGTACTTTTTTCGACCTAAATGAAAAAAACCCCAAGTATTTCATTGACGTACAAGTATCGAAAAATCAGTGCCAAATGTTTAGTTTCAAAAGCTCAGCATATATTCAGCTATATTTCGAATAATATACGTTAAAATACAAATACTGGAACCAAGGACTTATCTTCAAACATAAAAAAATAAAAAAGAACCTTAAACGACATTTTAAAATGATTTCTAGATTCATTTCAGTCATATAATTGTTTTTTTATAAATGCAGTCATTGTTATCTACAAGTACAATTTGTTGCTGCGTGTCGAAAGAACATTTTTGAAGCATGTCTGGCCAGGATCAAACGTCGAATTTTTATGTGCCAAACCTAATGTTAATGAGGTAAGTTCTTTGTTTCACTTCATTTGCATTAGGTTCGGCACATGAAAAGTTCGACGTTTGACCCTGGCCCTGGCAGAAAAATAAATAGTTTACACTTTTATTGTCTTGTTGTGTAGAAAATCATGTATTGCATAAAAAATAAAGGCTTTTTATCGTGTCATTTTCAGCAATATGTCAGCCATGCTTGGACTAATGTATTTTAAAATAATTAAATAAATAAACACAACTGATCTCAAATCTTCTTCGCCACACTGGAGCTTTGTAGGAATTTAAATAATTAAGCATCGTGCAAAAAATAAATAAGTTATTTACCGTTAAGGTCGGCCGTACTTGAAAAATATTTTCCCAAGGTCTCAGAAGCGGCCCGAAACCGAAGGTTGAGGGACGCTTCTGAGACCGAGGGTCGAGGGACACTTTGAGACCTCGGGAAAATATTTTTCAGTACGGACCTCCCGGCCGGTAAATAACATATACGAAGTCAGCTAGACAAAAGTTAACGTCACTTGTAAAAACTGTTCACCTATGTCGTCCCGCTTTGGCGGAACGGGGTGGAAGGCGGGATAATTTTGATGTATTTGAAAATGTCATTCTGCATAAACGAAAGTTGATCGACGAGGAACTGAAATATTGATAAAATTCTGCAGTAACAAAAACTATTATGGCTGTTTAAATTCTCTTTCTCGTCAATTCACAAATATTCAACAGCAAGCTATACCAGGACATTGCTGTATTATTAACCGTGTTGTACGCTGTCCAAACATCAAATTATTTCGCACATCCTGCGGTCCTGGCATGATGGCCCGTTTCATCGGAACGAATTTCAGTATGGCTAAAATCCTAAATGCCTGAATCCCGCGCTGGAGGCTTGCCAAAGAACTATATATAGCATAAATAAGAAGAACTCACAGAAAGGAAACGTGATCATGGGAGCAGGTCTTTCGTCATCTTTCGTCAGAACGACGATATTTTCAAACAGCAAAATTATGAATATTGTATATATATATGAATATATTGTATGAATATGGATATACACTCAGAGTAACATCACAAACATATTCACCTGAGTACACAACACCAACACAGAAAAAAATCATATTACTAGATTACATTGGTACTGCGAAGGAACTAGATTCTGTTCCGAAATATCACTTACTCGAACTGACCTGACCGCGTAGCTCAGTTGGCAGAGCATTGGGCTAGTATTCCAAAGGTCGTAGATTCGATTCCCACCGTGGCCGGGCATATTTTTTAAGCTGGCCCGTTGTGGATATACACTCAGAGTAACACTGATCACAAACATCATTGTATAAAGATGTCATCATGGCTATTATATATGGGGCGCCGTTTGTTCATAAATTATTTAAAGTAATATCACTTCGCTTTTTTCATTATTTTAATACTAATAATTTAAATTATTTATTACAAAATTGAACAGTAAAATGATTATTAAGCAAATAAACAGAAAATGTGGAAGTGATTATTTACTATATATAAACACAATCCAAAAGTGACTATTTATTATATAAACAAAATCCAAAAGTGATTATTTACTATATAAACACAATCCAAAAGTGATTATTTATTATATAAACAAAATCCAAAAGTGATTATTTACTATATAAACAAAAACTCCAAAAATGATTATTTATTATATAAACAAAATCCAAAAGTGATTGTTTATTATATAAACAAAAACTCCCAAAGTGATTGTTTATTATTTAATTTATTTTATAATTTCAATGTCATTTCTTTCATTCATCCAAGCAATCAATCAATCACGTCATCCTTGCAAGAAGCCAAGGCTATCAAGATTCGATACAGGAATTGTTTGTACGTAGTTTTAGTTATTGTCCCATGTTGGTTAATTTACAGATAATTTTTCAGGAAGCACCGTTCATACTGTATAGCAGCTTATTTGTTTAATGTACATATCGTGTGTATTCAGGTGCGATTTTATGCCAATTATTGTACCCACTTTTTCTACTGTTTCTTTTCATGGCTATATCTATTTGCCTTGCCAGCCGCTATTTTCTGCACATCTGCAACATTTTTGTATGGAATTTCTAAACAGTTAACTGCTTAATAACACGTTCAATGGTAACTCCACAAATGGGGCATCCAGATCTATTTTGCTGGAGTTGTTCAGCACATGTTGTACAGCAACACACATGACCCGTACCACCGTGCACAATCGTTGCATCCTTGGGTCTCTCACCACATTTTACGCACTTCGCAGTAGAGCCATCTGGAGGTCCTGGACGGCCTTCACGGCTGTCACTACCCCCTTCTGAAGAATTGGTGATTGGCTTTCCGCTCTTTGCAAGTTGAAAGCCGCTTCTAGTTCCTGACGAACATGCGAAACAAATCACAGTTTAGTAACATTTTCAACTTTTGGCCGCTTCGGGGTCGCCCACGGTATAGTATAACATAAACAAATGTTGGTGTGTTACGTCAGTTACCGGTACCACATCTTCACTGAGGCAGGCTGTAAGGACTAAGAATACTGTAAGCGAACTACAAAATATCTGATCCTTAAAGTGGAAACAACTTTTGGTGTCGGACAGGTAGGCCTGAAAACGATAAAAACACTTCTCGAAGTATAACCACCGTTTGCCATGAGATTTACAGGTCGGAACGTCGATAAGGGTTAGATTACTTGTTTACGTTGGTCATGTAATCCAACCCTAACGTTGTTTCCTCTTTAGGAAAATATATTGTTAGGTTATTCTTACTTTTCTTACAGCACCGCTCATATCCGCAATCGTAAAAATATCAAGTTATACTGTATATACAAACCTTGGCTGGTCGGTCTTGGTTCAGAACCAACTAAAGGGAAGATATAGTGTGAATTATTGAATATAAAAGTCTGATATAATACAGAACTTAATAACCCGGGTTAGACACATTTACATACACTCCAACTCAAGAGATCCCAAGAATAGTGCAAAGGTAAGAGGGCAGGTAGTTACTGACCGCCTGCCTGATTTTTCCGGGTAAAACTGTATTTTGCCCATTGAACAGTTTGTATCTTTTGTGCAACATAATCGATCTCGTTCTCAAAATCTTTCGTACTGTAGAACATCCACTTTTAGGCTTCGTTTTTCAACCGAGACCGAGTACTTAAGCTTTGGTGTGCACTGCTTGGTCACTCACACGAGATTGCCCTGTCATCGTCCCTAAACTGCATTATGTATATACTTACTGTTTATAGTCTTTTTTTTTCTTTTTGTCATCTATAGTCATAATTATATTTAGGAGCTGTGCCTTACATGGGTCTCAATTTCCCATTTGCACTATAGCCCAATTGATTGGACCTACACCTTGTAATCTATAATTTAACCTTTAGCTCCTAATTAATTTAAAAAATAAGTCCCCACCTTCTATTTAGCCCGATCCTCTGTTAATTAAACCATGCATATAGAAACTCATAGCAAAATGTGAACATTCACTGATAATGCTGTGTGTTTAGCGTTGACTGATATGGCTAAATAATTCGTAAAAACAATATGTCTTTCAATGTATCTTGTATGAACTCGTTAGGCTAATTTTTTTATTGTATATTTTCATCAGTGTATTTTCACGGAAAGGTGCGTAGCACGGGTCAAATATTTACTTACCCGGCCTTCATATGAACTCCATTTGCATGCATTCTTACTTGTTATTTGTCATTTTTAAATTCGCGTATGCTTACTTTACCATGCAACGAAGTGCATATACAGTAACTTACTATAATTAGAAATCTTACCCTCATTTGACACATCACCAGCAGTTTTCATACAGCTATCACACAAGTCGAACTCACACTGGGAACAATGATAGGGAACGTTGTTCATTTGCGGAATAAAACTTCGTGAACATCTATCACAACCCCATCTGCCATTAAATCTAGGATACGCGAGGTTTGAATCCGCTTTATACATTATATGTCCTGGATGAAATGTCGATCTGTATGGCTTGATACAGTTGTCACAAAGATCAAACTGACATGACGAGCAGTGTGCTGGAAAACTAAAGCAATTCAAACATATATTTTCAAAGAATTGTAAGGTGAACACGGTACAGCAGGAAACGCTATAGCAATAATTGAAAAGTACAAGTTTAATTCATATCTATATTTAAGTGATTTTTCTGTGTTGGTGTAGTGTTCAAGATGTATGTTTGCTACTTACATTATAAAATATGTTCTATCACCCCGCTTAATTCATTATCTACTGAGGGGACTTCAAATTAAGCATCACTAAAAGAAAGTCCTTGCATGGTACAGTAATAAAGGATAAAGGCGTGCGTTAAAAACCCGCAACAATAACAGGTGGGAGAATTGTCGTCGCTGACCAAATTTATCGCGGACGCTTTCTTTTTGCCAAGCAAAAATTGTGAAAACAACAAAACACGGATTTCGCTACCCTGTTTCTCGTGCTGCAGCAGAGGAAAATAAAAGAAAGCTAGCCGACGTAAACGTTAATAAACGTTAATCAAGATCACAATTACTTGTCGCAATCGAGAAACTAGCAGTCAAGAATTCTTCGCTGAAACATGGCCGAAAATTATGTTTCTTGCAAAATGTGTGTGTTTTGATGGCAAATAACCTCGAGCAGGAACTTAATATTGGTGGAATATTACTTGAAATATGCAGTACATGCGTTTGTTGTCCAGGACAAAGTATAAATATTTTGTTTTTGATGAGTGATACTGTGCGCCAACTATCATCGCTAAATTTCAGTATGTGAGGTATTTGGCTAAAATTGCTTGTTTTTCACCTTACAAATTTTCTCATATATACAGGTTGTGCCAATGAAATGTGATTAGGTCAGAAGATGTGCTTTTCTTTCTAGTTTTTGCTAAAAGAATGTAAAGTCGCCTTAAAAATGAAGAAAGTGCTGAATTTTGGCAAGTTTCATGAGCAAGTGTGATTTATACGAAAAAGGCGACTCAGAAAATGAGCATCAGAATAAACATTTTGCCATTTATTTTGCTATAAAAGTTTTAAAATATTATTTTTAGGTTTTCAAAGTATTTAAAAAACAGATAAACATAGCAATCAGATTTCTCTATTACCCTCATTTCGAAGCGTAAACTTTGTGTTATCTTTTAATAAACACAATCTTCGCTCGTTCAAAATTCTATAAACACGAATTTCGTCATGTTACAGGTTGTGCCAACGAAATATCGCTGTCTTACATGAAATTTCAAAGCATTTTTAAGTCGGTATTAAATTTCTTGGCTTTGTAAAAAATGAAGAAGTGTTGGTATTTTTGGTTTGAATTTCACATTTTATTGAAGCCATCAGACGACATTTTAAAAGGAAATTTTTTGCTCTGTTTTGTTTTGCATTGAAATAATCGATATTAATAATTTACATTGTAAAATATATGGCAATAGAGGAAATCAAAGTATTACTCCAACCTTTTTTGTTAGTGAATCCAATTTTGTGGTGATTTGTGGCCCTAAACAGCGCAGCTCTGCAAAATTGTAGTTCGAAGGCTTCGTTCGAGGCTTCGTTCATGTTGTTTAATGTTTATTAGTGATGGGCGAATACCGATTACTTGGTATCGATACCACCCGATACCAGGCCCAAACAGGAAGTAGTCGATACTGCACAGTATCGAACAAGTGTTTCGATTACTTTTAAAATTAGACATTCATTATAATCCTGTGGTTGTGTCATCGTTTTCATGGTTATTTCTAATAAAATTTATGTACTTTTTTGTATTTTGCTGCATTTATCAATTTAATCAAACTTCCTTTATACTTTATTTGACTTTCTATCCTCGCCGACAAAATAAATTATGAAAAAAGCGGGAAATAAAGTAATTTTTGTTTTTTTGTGGATTAAAATGGCGGATCAAATCGTTACTGTTAAAAATATGTAACTTTCTGAAAATATATCGTTACTGTTACAGTAGAAGGCTACTTCTTTAACAGTCGGCTCTTTATTAAGTGACTTACATTTATTATTTTGAAAATTGGAGGAAGTAATCGTTTGGGTAATCGATACCTCGATACTTTAACCAAAAAGTAATCGGTATCGTATCGAAACCGATATTGGTGGTATCGCCCATCACTAATGTTTATGTTTTTTAACTCAACAAAGTGGAAGCACGCATCTGGAAAATCCGAGCAATTTTCGCGCATGCTCAGACAATTTTCCCACCTGTTCGCAACAATTAGTAAGTTGCGAGGAAAGAAGTCGCATATTTTTGGCAATCTTCAATCATGGTTGTCTTGCAATGGTTATAATCAATGATTGTTCTTTGAAAGTTAAAACTCGGCACCAAATAACATCAACCTCTAATCAGAAAAAAACACTTAATGAACTTGAGTACAGTAGTTATACATTCATGAGTCTCGTATACATTTTATAAAGTATGAATAACGGCATGGAAATTGTGTTGTGCAAAATGCAAACCGTATAGGGGAATAACGATAAACAAAAGTCATGCACTTTTTTGCATTTGTCAGTATTCACCTTCAGAGGACTGATCAATGTGAAGAACACAACCCCATAGATTAGCACTGCATGTCAGAATTGCTTTGTTGTTTTAAAAACCATGCATATTTGTGTCCTTGAGAATGTGGAATTCATGAATAAAAGTTGTTTTAGTTGAACAAAATTGGAATTTATTAACAAAACAGGCAGTTCTATACAGTGCTAATGTGTTAGTGGTCACGTATTCAATTGAGTGCATCCTTGACCTTAATCAAATAAGCTGCATCAAATATATAATGTCTTACAAGTGTCCTGGTCCATTGTTGTTACTACACACATCACAGGTCCACTCTCCCTTTGATTGATGATAAACATACGAGACATCAGTACGATACAAACGATGTACATGAAGTGGACTGGTTACACCAGTGTAACATTTCTTACATATGCGAAAGCCACACTGTTCACAATGGTAGTGCTGGATCTCCTGGATATTTTCACTTTTCCGCTTGCACACGTCACAATTCCATGGCGCTATAGGGGTAATATAGAGCACGCCATGATCACGATGGACAGGATGGGACTTCGGTTTGTCACATGCTCCACATACAGTGTAGTCACATTGATTACAGTGAAATGCAGGTTTCTCAAGTTGGGATAAAGGTTCAAGGCAGCTACTACATGGTTTCTCACTTGCAACTGCCACTGCATCAGATTCAGTACGACCAGTGTGTACAGGATGCAAGCGATGTGTCGCGGCCATTACCACCCACACTAGAAAACAAAAAAAAATACCTAAAATTATTGGTGCATTTTAGTAAGTGTTACATGCTGCATGGAACCTAAGTGTGGTATCACCACTTGCCAAGGTGTTACACAGTATCCTAAAGACTGGGATTAGGCTGCACTGTATGCAAGGAAGATAGTTTTGGCATCACATGTTGCTCACTCAGGGCCATTTAATAAGATGTTGCTTTATTCCTCTGAGGCGTGGAATGGAGAGTTTATTGGAGCAAAAAAAAGGCCAAATAATGCACGTTGTTATCAACAGTATTCTTACTAATATACTGTAGAACACTGGAAGAATCCAAAACCAACATTGGTAAAAAACCTGTATCAGCATTAGCAACTAACTTCAGCGAGAGTTACCCACTGAAATCAAACACCTTTAGTTAGCACCTTTGATTTACTAAAAAATGTTAAATATAGGCCCATGGCGTCAGCATTTTGATGATGAATCATGGTGTGGTAGCGGTTACGCACGTCGATCTTCTGTATGTCTTTATTCTGTGCCTTCACGACAAGATTAGGAGTGCTGCCTTGGCAGCAAAAATCTATGTTGGGTTTTACCTGACTATCACTGCAAACAATGAAGATATTATCCAATAAAAAACGAAGTGTCTATACAGCCGGCTATTTAGTAAACTTAGTTGAATTTTTATAAGATAAACCGATCACAACCCCAATCCCTTCTCTCGTTTTTTAACTGATAATTTATTTCTTTAATGCATTTTACATTTCATATCCGAAATTAAAAGAAAAATCATTTCTGGTTCTTGAAAAAAAATCCTTTATCAATGCATGTTCTCAAAGAAAGATATGTAAAGAAATGTGGAAAAGACATTTGTGGATCAGAATTGTACACGTTAGTAGTTTCATTTTGCTCAAAACACAATATTTTTCAAAAATAATTACAAGATAGGTTTACTAAAGCAAAATCCGCGCTAAAAACGTGAATAAATATCGGGCTGTTGTGATTTTGCTGTTACTCGTAATGAGCGTCAAGATGGCGCCATATTAGCCATTGAGAAGACTGGGGACGAGTGTTAAAAAGTGCCCAAATTAAGAAATTAACCAAATAACTAAAACGACCACCTCAAAATTAGTAAGTATACAAAGTTTGAAGACGTTTACATGAATACCCTTCGAATAATAAACTTTCGAAAATTGTGAAATTACTGATTAATTAAAAGATTGTTTTTGGGACACGCATCCCAAAAACAAAAATTACAATACATTTCACAGTAAATATCGCGATTTTCGAAAGCTTATTATTCGAAGGATATTCATATAAACGTCTTCAAACTTTATATACTTACTATTTTTGAGGTGGTCTTTTTAGTGATTTGGTTCATTTCTTAATTTGGGCACTTTTTAACACACGTCCCCAGTCCACTCATCAACTTCGGAATGGCTAATTGGGGCAAAGGTGGTATATTGTGATTGTCATATCTTCTTAACGAGTTCGGTGACCCCGACTTTTTTGTACTGCGGAATTACCTTAAATATTCAGAGATTTATACAAACTTACAAAGGCATATAAAGTTCATCTATTTAGTAAAATTGCTCGAAACGTACATAAATGAGTTCATACATTTGCATTGTTCTTCTTTTTTTAGAATAACCGAAACCGAACCGAGGTTTTTCTGTTAAAAAAAACCGGAACCAAGATAAAAATTTTGGAACCGCACAGCTCTATAAGACAGACAAAACACAACCCGTACGCTACCATATACGCTAACAGCAAGCTCGGTAAAAACCAGAGGCGCCGTAATATCGATAATTGCGGGGGCAGATAATCATATATTCGTGTTCACAGACTGTAAAAACAATCGATTTCAAAAGAAATTAAGTGGGCAGAACACGAATATATGAATATCCGCGCCCCCCC